GGAATTCCTGGAAGCTTGGCATTCAGACAAATCAGCCATCAACAGGCACACAGAGATAAACCACATCAAAACCTAAGAAGGAAACAAAAAGACCAGAACACATTCTCTTCAGCAGCCTACTCCCAGATAAGCAGGGATTAACACCAGGCAAACAAGCAAGCAGAAAACAATGCCCTAATCAAGGAACTACCAAGGAGGAAACCACACCTGTGCTAACACTAGCAAACCAGTGTATATAAACAGGGAGCAAACCCCACACTCACTAGCACTGATGATGTTACCTAGTCAGGTAACAAAATGTCTGCAAGCAAACAACCGAGCACAGAGAGCACCAAGGACTCCACAGTTCAACCCTGAGCTACAGAGATCCTCTTCTATTGAAGCTTAATTTGGACAAAATAGAGGTGGTCCTATTGCGGAATCTGGTACAGGAATTTCAGTATGTTGGGCATGGGATTCATCTTTTGAATAATCTGGGATTGCAGTTGACAACCTGGGACCAGATGGTAGCTGTACCCAAATGGGTGCCAGCTTGGACTGCTCTTGAGAAGGACACAGTGTCACGGTCAGAGATCCCCGAGTTACACCCAGGCTGTATTGTCTGAACATACTCTACATGGGGCTACCTCTGAAGCCTCTTTGGAAACTCCAGGAGATTTGGCTGCAGCTATAAGGATATTAGAAGGGGCTTCACCATAGGATCCTATCTACAATCCTGTAACGGTTGCATGTCAGTGTATGACTGGGAAGCCAGATCCACAGAGTTCACAAATCAGATTTAATAAAATAAGGGGCTAGGATACACAACCTTGGAAAACGAAAAAGCCAAACTCCCGCCCTCATTTATACATGAATTCAAGGCAGTGGAGAGGGTATGTGTAAATTGTTTTTACATCTTTACTCCAGACTGCATAACTGAAGGACTACTGGCTCTTTTACTAGGCTAAGACTGAAACGTCCATCAGCTCTTCATTTGCTGTGTTTGAAATTTTCCCCGTTCTTTCTCAGACCCCAAGAGCTGTCTTATATTGCATCAACTGCCGATCTGCTTTTCAGCACAATTAAAAATAAGTGGAGGGTTACTTTTATAGCCTTTTCTGCCACAGGATACATTAGAGCAGTGTTTTTCAACCTCAGAAACTGAAGATATGTGGACTTCAGCTCTCAGAATTCTGGGAGTTGAAGTCCACACAACTTAGAGTTGCTAAGGTTGAGAAACACTACATTAGAAGCTCTCTGATTATCAGCAGTGGAAAAGGAAAAAATATATCTCTGTATCCTAGCTAGAATAGAGACACTTGGGTAAAATAAAATAAGAAGGGGGCCTTCAGACAGACATCATCTCAATGATGGGCCACTATGATTCTTTGCTCAGGTGGGGGGTGTGGGGAGGCAGACTCCTTCGGCAGAATGTGGTAGATCATGTTCTACTCTTAAATGCCAATTTTCTCTCTACGGCTGTCTTAAATAGTCTATGATATCCAAAGCTTGCTTTGTGTTTTGTACAGGATTTATATTTTTATTTTTTATTTATATATCAAATTTGTCACCGCCCATCTTGTTGAAACGAGATATATTATTAAAATAATAATGTATAAATACACTAATATTTCTTCAGCAGCTCTCACAAGGTCTACAAGGCTGTAGGCTACAAATTATTGTTAATGCTCCATGCCTCTTAGATGAACTCCAACCCATTGTACCCACCCAGGTACCCCTTGCAAACTTCATTTTTGAAGAGATGGCACTTGTGCTACGTTACCTCATAGCCGGCATACTTATCGAATGACGAATGGAGTAACTGCTACTCGGAAGCATTAAGGGGAAAGGAGGAAACATTAGAAGCATTAAACCATGGACATCCTCACACCCTATCTATTGCCCCACTCACACAGCTTAGTTGCAAGTTGCAAGGCATTTTGAGATATTCTCAGTGGAGGATCAGGAGAATTATGGTGGGGGAGGAGGGAAAGAGAGAGAAACAGATGACAGCAATACCCCAAATTTTACTTCTTTGCTCTTCCCCAAGGTGCTTATAACCTAGACTTTCTCACTGAGACACAAAGCAACAGTAATGTCACCAACTTGTTGCAATGGGAGGAGGCCACATGTCTCATTAAGAGGGAAAAACACCTTTAAGACTGCAGTATGGATGGAGGCTCGGCTTCTCTGGGAAAAATAGGGCCTATTCTCTCCATTCCCCTCAAAAGAAGAAAATGTTTAATTTAGCAAGAGCCTTCAAATGTTATGCCCAACACACTTGAGCGACAATGGCCTGGATTGATCGATATAGAGCAGGGTTTCTCCACCCTGGCGACTTGAAGTCCACACATCTTCACGTCGCCATGGTTGAGGAACACTGATATAGAGGAAGAGGCATGGAAACCCATAATCTGTCAGGGTTGCAAAGTGAGTTTGGCCTGACTTTGCTGTCCTATGTTTCTAAATCCCCAACGAGCATGGATCTTAAAACCATCCTGCATTCAGAGAAAAGAGTAGGGACAAACGAAAGTGCCAGCCAAGCACGTGATGAACCCTGCACAGATACTGAAACTTTAGTTTAAAAAGCAATCTTTTTTCGGACCAGACAAAGATCTGTTGAGCCCTGCTTAGCACTTCCTCTAATAATTTTCTCTGGGCCCATGTGCACTAACTAAGTCCAGAAAAACTGAAGAGAAGCAGATCAAGCTGTCATGGAAGGTACAACTCAGATCCATCAGTGGCTCCAGCATTTGGTTTGGTGCCATCCGTGTCCATGTATTTCATGAAAATAACCAGATTCCCCATGCAGATTACATCTCTGCAGAGCCTTACCTAAAAGAATGTGAGAAGGGATGGGCCCTGGAAGAATCCAACGGAAGCAGAGATTGAGAACAGGGAAAGAGAGAAAGTTAGGGGTACATTTCAAGACCATCTTGTCTATACAATACTCAGGCGCCAAGCAATCCACCGAGAGATGAATTTTAAAAGGACAAGGAATGATATGAGGATTATGCTCCTGCCACCAAATATTTATTTCACTAGTGTTCATGCTACAAGGTGAAATAAAGTTATCTTTCATCAATTAAATCACTGATACATTTGAAAGTCCATGGCAAATCTCAAACAGCTCTGATGAGTTAAAAAAAAAAGTATGCTTGACAACTTCTGCCCACCAACCAACTAAACCAACAGGTCCATCAGGCTACCAACATCTGCTACGTGGCCTGTGGACTACCTTCACGTGGGCCTAGATCAGAAAGAATGGGGCTCATTTTCACTCAATTGTGAATTCTGAAAGATACATCACCCCCCAAGACTAAAAGCAAGACTAAAATTATGCTTGAGTGTACAATGCAGGAGTAGCCTGGCATTTTCTTCCAGGCAGCACCAACACAGCTCAAGATAACAACCAGAGATTACATCTTCTGGCAGGAGAAATTCACAATGCAAGGAAACAGCAGCTAGAAAACCAGTTTTCCAAGAGAGGCATTAGCAAATAAACCTGGGAATCTTTGACAGGACCACCATTATTCCAGGTGATTTTAGTCACTTAATAAAATAAAGACTTTTTTAAACTGTTCCTCCTGTTCACCGCTGCATGAATGAGAAGGAATTAGCAATGGGCTCATGATTTCTGTCCTTTTGAATCTCTGGTTCTTCCCAAGCGTTACTGCCTGAATGGCAACAGATTAACCCTACTCCAAGAGAATACTGGAAATCCATTTTATGAACCTTCTGCACTGGATAAAAACCAGTGCAAGATAGAGATTTGAGTCCAATTCAAACCACACATAAGAGTGGTAGATGCTTAGGTATGGGTGGGAAACTATTTTCCACATCCCAAAAATCTACACCTGGTAAGGCAGCTGGCCCATTCTGCAACTTCAACCATCCGTTGAGAAAGAGAGAAGAGATGTGATCCTGCGGTTTGGCTGCTTAAAACGGGTAACAGCTCTGGATGTTAATATGAATTGGGGAGACAAGGAAAGCTTCCTTGTCTCCCCAATTCATATTGACATCCAGAGCTGTTACCCATTTTAAGCAGCCAAACCTCAGGATCACATCTCTACTCCTGTTGGCTTAGCTGTGATTACCCGAAGTTCGTTCTACGACTAACACCCACTGGATCCACCCCAATGAAATGTATTAGATTTGATTAGATGCTTTAAAAAATTACAGACCAGCCTTCCTGAAGCTGGTATCTCCCATCATCCCCAGCCAGAAGAGCCATTGGCCAAGCTGACTGGGGAAAGTGGGAGTAATGCATCACATCTGAAGAAGACTGGATTGGAATAATCTGATTTAGAAAACATACTGACGTCACAGCCTTTTCTGTCGAGGACTATACACCACAGCAGTTAAGATTTGCCAAGATCAGAGGCTTTCCTTGTCTCCCCAATTCATATTGACATCCAGAGCTGTTACCCGTTTTAAGCAGCCAAACCTCAGGATCACACTGCAGGCACGTAGGAAAGTAAAGGAGCACACTCGGTTTGCTGGGGAAGGGCAGTAAAATCTCAGAGACAACAGGGTAAAGACAAGCGGAGCAGGGATAACGCCTGCCTTTTGAAGAAAAGGAACTCACCACAACACTTAGCCTCTGATCACATAAGACAAACTTTGGAAATAGTGCTGGCTTTATCTTTTAGAGTGTTTCCGCCCTGCAAAAACCGAGACGTCTTTGTGGAAGCTGCCAGAGAAGTCAAAACTGACCCCTTCATTGACGAGGAGGCCCAACAGCACAGTTGGAAATGTTCCTCAACCTCGGCAACGTAAAGATACGCAGACTTCAGCTCCCAGAATTCCCTAGCCAGCAAGGCTGGCTGGAGAAATCTGCGAGTTGAGGTCCACACATCTTAAAGTGGCCAAGGTTGAAAAACACTGGTCTACAGCACTGAGATTTAGAGGAAGAGATGGTGGCTGCCTGTTTCCTGTGATAAAGCAGTCATGCTTTCTTTGTTCTTCCAGTTTTAAACCTTACTGTTAATCATGGCCTGTCAAGTGTTATCAATCTGGAAGACTCAACTTTAGCTCTTGGTGAGGACAACATGACTTCAAAAACTATTTACAAGGGAACAATGGCAGGAGAGGGGAAGGTCTCCATCCCCTGCTTTTCAACACCCTAGAGCAGTGTTGTCCAAACTTGGCCACTTTAAGATGAGTGGACTTCAACTCCCAGAAT